CCCCCGGGGCCCGGTGCGCCGTTGCGGTCGGGGCGTGGATCCATTACAATCAAAAAACCTAATAAGGACGCGCGGTGAGGACGCAAGACCCTTGGAAGCCGAAGTTGGGATTATTGGGGCGGCGGACGACGAAAACCTCAAGAACGCAAGAGCAAGGAAGAGCAAGGACGCAAGGGTACCCTGAGCAAAGTCGCGCGTCCTTTTTAGGGTTTTCGACTGTACATGAGGGATGTGCTCCATAGGTTAAGCTTTGACTTCCCATCGAGAACCTCTGGAGAACCTGAGGCAAGCTGCGAGACAATTCAGGAATATTGGAGGCCTGGAAGTCGGCACCAACACCAGTCTAGGGGGTTGCCTCCACAGAGGGAAGATAATCCTAGATTTCGGCGTTGGTGGCAATATTTCGGCAACCCTGGAACCAGAATATTACCAGCATCACCGAGATCGGGATCTTCTTCCCTCCCTGGAGGCACACCGCCGATCTTGGTGTTGGTGTCAACCTCTTGGCCTGCGAGAATACGGAGCCCCTCCCCCATGATAAGGGTTCCTTGCTCAGCGCCCCGGCTGTATACGTGCCAGAACCACGCGCGCTTCGCGCGCGCCCAGGTTCGAGCAATCACCTGGCCTCGAAAACGCACGGTCGCACGCATGCACGTACACACCCACAGAGGACCTGGTCATGAGTTGGAGAAGCAGCGCGGGCGCGGGCCAGGCGGAGACATACCACCGACGAAGAGGAACAAACCATGCAAAGGAACCCAACGAACCTGACAACCCCGGCAACATTGAGACCGCATGACGCGAAGACGATGCATCCGATGAAAGCGCCGCCTTTGGAATCGGGCTGGAGGCTGGGCGTCGGAACTGCCACCAGGTCCGCTGCGCAGGGGAAGGGAAGGAGAGCGGAGGGAAGAACGAGGAGGGAGAAGCGAGAAACCAGATTGCAGCGAGGCCCCGGGCAGAGTCGGGCAGCGGGGACTCGGACGGAGGAGCGGAGGAACAGGAACTGGAAGAGGGGCCTCTGCACGGAAGCGCGGCGGCCAGAGCTGGCGGCGCGACACGTCGAGCAGGAGCGTGTGGCCGCACCTCTCCCGGGCTGGACGGCTTCCCCCTGGGCCGTAGGCGACGCGACGAGGGGAGGGCGAGGAGGGCGAGGAGGGCGAGGAGGGCGAGGGAGGAGGGGGAGGAGGAGCAGGAGGATAGGGGGGAGGAGGAGGGGGAGGAGGAGGAGGAGGAGGAGGAGAGGGAGGAGCGAGGAGGCAGTGAGCAACAGGGATGGGGCCGATGCGCCAGGAGACGCCGCGGATCGCCCGCGCGCGCGTGCCCCGCAGAGGCCCGCCACGCAGCGGCCGCCCCGCGCCGCAGCCCATGGGGCGGCCCGCGCCTCGCGGGCCGCACTCGCAGAAGAGGCCGCCGAGGGCGGGAGCGCGACCCCGGAAGGGGCCCCGCGGGGCCCTGGTTCAGCTCGAGACCTCGTTCCCGTCGTCTGTCCCGTGGCCCCTTGGCCTTCTTTCCCCGTCGGCTCTCTGGGCAACGCTCCTGAACGGGCCGTCGGGAACACGCGGAGCGCGACTCTGTAAACCACGGACGGACCATTCCATACTTTGGACGCCCGAAATGGACACGGAAAGAATGGGTACAATACCCAACAGCAAATGTTGTCCCAAACCAACAGCGGCCGCTGTTGGGCGGGCGGCCTCCTGTCTCAAACGGACACGTGCCGCGGCGGCGCGGACAGCGAGTCCTGTTCAAGATGAACCGGATCCGCTGTTAGGCATTGTACCTATTCTTTCCGTGCCCATTTCGGGCGTCCAGACGGAAGGGGCCCTGCGGGGCCCTGGTTTAGCTCGAGAATTTGAGCTCGAGCCCAAATGGCCACGGTTTGAGTACTCTCGCCCTTTCGGGCTTCCATTGCCTCAGGACGGCTCAAGGGGGCACCGGAGCTCGTCCCAGGACGATCCGAGAGGCCCCCGGAGAGGGCCCCAGGAAGCCCCCCCCACAAGACGAAGGCTGCAGAGGCCCTCTCCACAAATACTGTCGGCAAGATCCCCGACCTCTCCCCAGAAACGCCCAGGAGGCCACAATATGTCCCGACGAGGCTTCCTCGACGTGCCTCCAAAAGGACCCCGAGAGTCTCCCCGAGAGGCCACCTCCGGAGGCCCCCAGGCAGCACCCCACAAGACCACAATAGGCATCCGAGAGGTGTACGGCTACGGCTACGGCTCCGCGCGCAGCCCAGGCACGGAAGCGGGATGGGCCGAAGACCTCTACAATATATACACAGATGGGTGTGCATATGTAAACATGTATAGACATGTTGATATACTTCCAAGGAGTGGTAATCTGTTTCGTTGGACGGGATGGATGGCCGTCCGCTTGCGACGCAGATGCCTGGGGGCCTGGGACGTGATCGGGGCGCCGCGCCGAAGCGCGGAGGCCAGAGCTGGCGGCGCGACACGTTGAGCAGGAGCGTGTGGCCGCACCTCTCCCGGGCTGGACGGCTTCCCCCTGGGCCGTAGGCGACGCGACGAGGGGAGGGTGAGGAGGGCGAGGAGGGCGAGGAGGAGGAGGAGGAGGAGGAGGAGGGGGAGCAGGAGGATGAGGAGGAGGAGGAGGAGGAGGAGGAGGAGGAGGAGGAGGAGGAGGGGGAGGAGGACAAGCTAGGTGCGCTCGCGTCATATCTGACGTCCTACCCCTCCCTCCCATCCCTTACCAGGCGCTGATTTTCTCTATCCGCGGACGCGTGTCGTAGCGGACCTGTGGCTCCGCGCGCGCGTGCGTAGTGGGTGGTGGTGCGCGTGCGTGCGTGCGTGCGTGTGTGCGTGGTTTTGGTGGTGGGTGGTGGTGGTGGTGGTGGGTGGGGTGGTGGGTGGTGGTGGTGGTGGTGGTGGTGGTGGTGGTGGTGCTGGTGGTGCTGGTGGTGGTTGGTGCTGGTGGTTGTGATGGTGGTGGTGGTGGTGGTGGTGGTGGTGGTGGTGGTGGTGGGTGCGGCGCGGTGGTGGCGGGCGGATGGGCGCGCGAGAAAGAGGCCCGCGCTGGGGCGAGAACGCCATCCTGAACGATGGAGGCCAAACACCGATCCGAAAATGAGGCCCACGCTGCAGCGGGAGCACGATTCGGAACGATTCGGGAGCAGAAATGAGGCCGGCGCCTCAGCGAGAGCAGCATTTTGAAACATGATCGACCCACGAACCCGGAAAGGAATATAGAAATGTAAGGCATGGCAACGTTTCAAGGACACCTGATTGGGCGACGGGCAAATGCAATGCTGAATGTATCGATTTTGATGTACCGTGCCGAAGGCTGTGCTGTGCTGCGCCGTGCTGATGCTGAACTGCGATGTGCCATGCCGCGAATGTGCTCTGTAGCGTTGTGGATCGAGTCCTCCTTTGCACCCGAGTCCTGACCGAACTGATCTGGATCTTAAGCTCGAGCTGCCTCAGCACATAGTAGCTGCCCCAGAGCTAATTGGCAAGGGAACATGCCAGGAGGACGCGCCGCGGAACGTCCCAAGCGACACGCCAGGCGACGTGCCAGGGGACGTGCCACGGGGACGCACTGCGGGACGTGCCAAGGGGACGCGCTACGGAACGTGCCAATGGACGTGCCAATGGACGTGCCAGGAGACGCGCCGCGCGAAGTGCCAGGGGGACTCGCCACAGGACGCGCCACGGAACGTGCCAGGTTGCAATGCTGAATGTATCGATCTTAATGTACAGTGCAGAGGCTGTGCTGTTGTGCGCCGTGCTGAATTGCGATGTGCCATGCCGCGATTGTGCTCTACAGCGTTGTGGATCGAGTCCTCTTTTGCATCCGAGTCCTGGCCGAACTGATATGGATCGTAAGCACGAACTGCCTGAGCACATAGTAGCTGCCCCCGAGCTGATTGACAGGGGGGCATGCCAGGAGGACGCGCCGCGGAACGGAACGTGCCAAGGGCCGCGCCAGGCGACGTGCCAGGAGACGTGCCATGGCCACGCACCGCGGGACGTGCCAAGGACGCGCTACGGAACGTGCCAATGGACGTGCACCGCGCGACGTGCCAGGGGGACTCGCCACGGGACGCTCCGCGGAACGTGCCAGGCAACATGCCAAGATGCAATGCTCAAGGTATCGATATTGATGTACCGTGCCGAGGGCTGTGCTGTGCCTGGGCAACCTGGACACGTGAAAACACGCGTTTCGCTCAAGACGTTCTCAGCACATCCTCACGCTAGACATCCGCATGGGCAACCTGGACACGTGCAAACAAGCGTCTCGATCGAGACTTCCTCGACACATCCTCATGCTAGACATCCGCCTGGGCGACCTGGACACGTGAAAACAAGCCTCTGGTTCGAGAAATCCTCAACAAATCCTCATGCTAGACATCTGCCTGGGCAACCTGGAGGCGTGAAACCAAGCGTCTCGCTCGAGACATCCTCAAGACCTGGGCACGTGAAAACAAGCATTTCACATGAGAAATCCTCTGAATTCAGGTCCCCATGAGAGGACAACATTGAACACAAAACAAGCGTTTCGCTCGAGACATCCTCAACAAATTCTGAAAAACAAGCGTTTCGCTAGGGACATCCTCAATTTTTAATTCGCCGGCCCTACGCGACCTCGTTATTTATCGCACAAGAAATTCGCCGGCCCTACAGCCGTCAAAACCGGGGGAAACCAACTAAAAGAGAACCCTGGGCTCAGGCCCTTTCCGGGAAAAAACGCAAGCGAAAACCCGTTTCCCGGGAATCCTGTGTGTAAAAAAACAATACGCGGGGGGGGGTCGGTCATCTTCGGGACGCCATCAGGGGAAGTGGGTGAGTATTTTCATATTGTGTAATTGTGGAGGGGGAGGAAGAGGAGGAGGAGGAGGAGGAGGAAGAGGAGGAGGAGGAGGAGGAGGAGGAGGAGGAGGAGGAGGAGGAGGAGGAGGACGGGTCGCCTGAGCCCTTCGGAAAAAACGACCCTCCATCCCGGGGCCCTGCGCCCCTCGCCGTCGTGGCAGGGGGCTGGTCCTGGCGAACCGCGCGAAGCACCACAGCCACGAGGCGCACGAGGCCAGCAGCAGGAGCCCCACGACGAGCAGGCTCGTCCCCGAGAGCCGCGGCTGCCCCTCCGGCGGCCTCGGCCGGGCTGGGGGGGGGAGGAGCTTTAGTGGTTTTGCCCCCTCTCGCGCTGGCTTGCGTGTCCCATTGCTGCGTGCTGTGGCTGAACAATCAGGTGCAGCGGCGGCGGCCCCCGGGGTGGCAAAGTGTTGGCGAAGCTGTTGCCCGCGCACTAACAGGGAGAATGAGGAAGACGATTCATCGGGAGGCTCTCATCCACGGAGGGGGAGGAGCATCGATGATCCTCAAGAAGTGTGCCACCGCCGTAGTCCTTTCCGCCCTCCCCGCCTGCTCCTGTGTGCGTAGATCGTTCTTGACGTGTCCAGCCGCTGGCCGACTGCTTGCTGGAGCAAGCTCGTCTCATACCCGAACTATTAGCTCCAGCGTGGGCTCACCCACCGAGGCGGGACAAATCAAGGAGGGCAGCGGCAGCGCTACGGCGAGGGGCACGGGGTTGTCCCTGCGAGCAGACTACGTATGGGCGAGCGTCCAGGCGTCTCAGATGCCGCATGGGCACGGCCCGGTCAGAGGGAGGCAAGGAATAGAATGATGATGAGGGGGGAGAGTTCCCGCTCCCCCACATCCCCTTCCATCCCCACCCCCACCCCCCCTCGCGCTTCGCGCTTCCCCCCCCCCCCCGATATAGACCCTGGGGTGCCTAGACTACCCTCCCCCAGGAGAGACCCAAGGGGGCCACGAACCCCACCAAAAGAGCTCCAGGAGGACACTAAAAGATCAACCCCAATCGCCCCAACAGGGTTTCCAGAGGCGATTTTCAAGGCTCTGTCCTCGTCGTCGTTGTCCTTCTCCTCCTCCTCCTCCTCCTCCTCCTCCTCCTCCTCCTCCTCCTCCTCCCCCTCCTCCTCCTCAACGTCGTTCTCGTCATCATCCTGGCCCTCGTTGTCGTCCTTCTCCGTTTCCCCCTCTTCCTCGTCGTCGTGGTCGTCATCGTCGTCGTGGTCGTCATCGTCGTCGTCGTCGTGGTCGTTGTCGTCGTCGTCGTCTTCCTCCTCCTCCTCCTCTTCCGCCTCGTCCTCCTGTTCCTCTTGCTGTTCCTCCTCCTCGTTTCGTCTCGTTTCGCTACACCTTAGAACTCCTGCAGAGCTGGCTGGAACTATACTAACTCATCTGCTACCCACTCCAGTGCTCGATCCGGTGCAATCAAATCATCTCTGCTTGGAGCAGTCACGTCCACCGATACGTACACCTCTTCACCTCCTCATCCTCTTCCTCCTCCTCCTCCTCTTCCCCCTCCTTCTCATCCTCTTCCACCTCCTCCTCCTCCTCCTCCTCCTCCTCCTTCGCCTCCTCCTCCTCCCTCTCCGCCTCCTCGTCCTCGTCCTCCTCCTCCTCCTCCTCCTTCCCTCGCCCCCGAGCGGGCCCCAGGGATGGCCCGAAGAGGCCCTCCAAGGACACACCTTGCTCCAAAGACCTTTCTGTTCGCCCTGGCCTTCGCTCTGTTTCACTCTCTGTGGCCCTTGGTCTTCTTTTCCCGTCGGCTCTCTGGACAACGCTTCTGAACGGGCTTGCGGGAACACGCGAAGCGCGACTCTGCAAACATCGGACCATTCCATACTTTGGACGCCCGAAATGGGCACGGAAACAATGGGTACAATGCCCAACAGCACATGTTGTCCATAAGCAACAGCGGCCGTTGTTGCGCGGGCGGCCTCCTGTCTCGAACGGATACGGGCCGCGGCGGCGCAGACAGCGAGTCCTGTTCAAGATGAACAGGAACTGCTGTTGGGCATCGTACCCATTCTTCCCGTGCCCATTTCGGGCGTCCAGGCATACATCTCTTCCGCAGATTCGGCGAACATGTCAAGTCTGGGCACACCAACTTTGCAATCGGCCTCCCACTCCGGTCTTGGGCCCCCCGAGCAGGGCGCGAGCGCCGAGGGCGCACCCCGGAGCCGCGGCGGCCGAGGGCGCGGCGCCGCGCTGAGCTGCAGCGCCGCCAGCAGAGCGCCCCCGCCCGGGGCGCCCGCGGACGGGCCGCTGGCGCCGAGCCCGCCCGCCACCTGGCGGGGTGACTGCGACGAAGCCAGGACGAGGATGAATTCGCACGAGGACGAGCCGGAGGATGCCGTCGGGCGCCGCGGTTTCCCTGAGAGCGTTCGGGGGTACGCTCTGGGAGGGACTTCTCCTCCGCAGAGCCCCGCCCGAAGGATGGTGGCATCTCAACAGGGACCGGCTCGGGAACCGGGGGCCAGGGACCGAGGCACTCCTCCACGGCGCCTGGCGGCGAGCCCCTCCCGGCGGGCCCCTCCTCCTTCTTCACGGGCACACGCAAGCGGCACAAACATAAACGGTCGGCGCTCTGCGCGGATTTCTTGGATCGGCGCTGAAGCCCCCTGTGGCGGCGCCTCTGAGCGCCTCCGGCGCCCCCCCCTGGCGCGTTCCGCGCCCCAGGGACGGGGGTGCAGGTGCCGCGCCGATCCAAGAAGATCCGCGCGCAGCGACGACTGTTTGTGCTTGTGTAGTTGTTCCTTTTTCGGAGTTGTGATGTCCTCCTCCTCCTCTTCCTCCTCCACTCAGATCGAATGGGATCGTGCTGTCAGGATTCTGCGGGAGCGGCAGGGCAAGCGATGTACGGGCTCCTGCGCTGCGGCCGACAGGCTGGGCCTGGGCGGCCGCAGCTGGAGGACAGAGGGCAACGGAGCCAGAGGAAAAGGCAGTGGGCCTACGAATGCGTGAAGTGTGCGCCCACCTGGTCGCCGCAGGCCGATCCTCCTCCTCCTTCTGCTCCTCCTCGTCATGCATCCTCCTCCTCCTCCTCCTCCTCCTCCTCCTCCTTCCCTCTCATCATCATCATCATCATCATCACCATCATCATCATCATCATCATCATCATCATCATCATCAGCATCATCAGCAGCAACAGCAGCATCATCATCATCAGCAGCAGCATCACCATCAGCATCATCAGCAGCATCATCGTTATCATCATCACCACCATCAGCATCAGCATCAGCATCAACATCTGCATCTGCATCAGCATCAGCACTATTCAACATCAACATCTGCATCAACATCCCAAAGTCGTCCCCAGACTATTCCTCCCAAAGTCGTCCCCAGACTATTCTTCCTCCCGAAGAGGGACAGGCGCGACTTAAGGTTGGCCCGACGGGGCCACCAAGAAAATGACAATTCCCAATCTGAAATTTGCCGCGAGCTCCCGCTGCAAACATCCCACGAAACCTGGACCGTCAAAGTCCAGGACGCGCTCGCCAAAAGGCGTCGGCAAACCCGAGTTTTCGGCGCACTCGTGTCTTACGTCTCTGCAGGGTCCCCAGGTCACACAAATACATACACACATTTAAAACTCATCCCCAGATGTTCCCATAGTTTCTGGGTTCCCGTCTTCCACCCCCACTTCCCATATTCTCCCATATTTTCTGGGCGTCGGCGATTAATTGTGTCTGTGTGTTTTTTCCCTCCCCGTTCTGAGGCTGCGCCCCCCTGTTCCTCCCCCATCTCTGCCCAATTCAAGCTTCGCGCGGCCCGCTCAGCATCGACAGGAAGAGGGGCGCTCTCGACCCGCGAATCAACAAAAAAGTGTTCTTTTTTCCCTCCTGAGTCTCCCCGATACCTCTCTCCGCCGCCGCGCCCTCCCCCCCCTGCTCCTCGGGAGCGGCCATGAAGGGGGAGTCCAAGAGGGGGGGGTGCAAATCATGACCGGCGGCATGTGCGCGGCCCAGCGGGGGGGCCAGGGACGTAATGAAATAAGAAGGGGCGCCATGAAATCTGGGGAAATATCCTGGCCCACGCCATGAGATCCACCCCCCTCTAGTCACCCCCCCCCTCTTTTCCGCCCCCGAGTTCCTGCCGCCTCCTCTCGCCCCGCCGCCCCCCCGCCTCGCCACGCAGCCCCCCGTGAGACGCGGGCCGGAGCTCCCCCCCGGGCGGCGCCGCGGCGGCGGTGCCGGAGAGAAGCACCAGGGCCCGTGCCAGCGAGAGTCCTCCTCCTGCTCGACCGTGCCAACTGGAAGGGGCCCTGGGACACACCAATACATGCACACAAATGGAAGGATTCCCCGTATGTTCCCGTCCGGGGGCCTCCTGGGCGGCCCAGGGTGGGTTAGAATGGGGGAACAAAAAGTGGCATAAGCATAACAACTCGGAGGTCCGCGCGGACCTCCGAGTTTTTGTGTTTATGCAACTTTTTGTTCCCCTAGTACCAGCGAGCTCTCCTCCTGCTCGACCGTGCCAACAACAAAAAACACGAGGAGGTGGTGGGCGAGGGGGGGACGGGCAGGGCGCAGAGGAGGGAGGGGTCGAGGCGCTGCGCAGAGAAGAGGAGGCGAGGGCACGGTTCCCTCGTGCCTCTCGGACCCCTCGGCCTCACTCTCGCGAGGGCGGGCCCACGCCTCTGCAGGGCCAACGGCGGCATCGGGAGCAGAGTCCGCTGCTGCAGCTCGCTGCGGGGGAATGCCTGGCTGGCTCGGGTGTCAAAGGCGGAACGGTAAGAATGAGGATGGCCCGTGCCGTGACGACTCGTCTCAAGTCGGGCGTGTCCCCCTACAGTGGGATTCTGACGAACAATAAAGAATACTCAAGACATATTCCAAAATGGCATAAAAAACGCAAAACATAGCCCCCCGACTATTTTGTTGACTGTTTTTGGATATTCCCCCTGTAGAGGGACAGGCCCGAAATGAGACTCGTCCGCCGGTTCCTGACACCGCTCCGATCGCACCTCAGCCCAGAGCGGCCGCATTTTTTCCCAACGTTGAGCAGGGACCGACCGTCCCAGCATTCCTATTGTCATACCACGACGTGTTCTTAGAACCCACAAATGTTCTAAGAACAAAAGCAATGTTCTTAGAGCATAAGCCCGATGTGCTAAAACAAGACAGTCCCAGCCAGACATGTTCTAAGAACATCTCGTGGGAACCACAAAAGAGGTTCCTAGAACATTGTCTGGTGGGCTAGTCGGGGATGGACAGACCTCCCTCTAGTAAAACGTGGTTTAGTGAAAACGACCTGAGGCCCAAACCTGGCGGGCGCAAGCCTGGAAAATGACGGCCGCGGCGCCCTCTCGAGAACCGAAAACGGACAATTCACTAATCGACGTGCCACTGTTGGGGGTTCTGTCCACCCCCGATATAGGCGAGCCGGGACGCTTCGCCACTGCTTGGCAACGGCACAGACCGTTCGATATCGGCCGACTCCGGGCCGCCGGCCGCACTCGTCCTCGGGCGCACCGCCACGCCGGCACGACACGGAGCTGCCGCACCTGGCTGGCCTCCTCCCCCTCCCCCTCCCCCTCCTCCTCGTCCTCCTCCCCCTCCTCCTCGTCCTCCTCCTCCTCCTCCTCCTCCTCCTCTTCTCCAGGGGCCCTGGGACACACAAATGAATAGACACAAATAACCAAATTCCCCCTAAGTTTCCAACATGCCGTAGCGGCTTGGAGCTTGGAACGTGCCCGTCTGTGGAGGCGAGTCGCGCACAGAGAAAGACGAAATCATCTGGACAGTATACGAAGACAGGCGTCACTCTCGAAGGAGGGGAAGTGGAGGGGCCCGTCTCTATCCTCCAGTTGAAAAAGTCGCGGGAAGACGCTTGGACGAACAAGAATGGGGACCGCCGTTCCCAACTGAACGAATTACTTTGTCTCAGACCGGCATATATTCTCACATTTGGCGGATTCCGGAAACCCTAAACCCCAAAAAAGTAATCATCCCTTGGCATTTTTTATAACTTCCGCCGCCTTCCGCCAGCCTTCCGCCGTCTTCCGCCCGCGGAGGCGGCCTCGTTTTGCTAAGTGGAACAAGTAACATATAGAAAAGGCTTGAGTACCGCCGACCACCTTCTTGTGATGGCTATGATGTGTGAAGGGAGCGACGCTTAAAACATAGTCTTATGCTTTCGTATAATGTTTTTTGGGGAAGGCGGAAGAGGGAGCAGACAGCACCACGGCAAAACACCACTCAAGATGTCATGTGCTGAGCGCGCCGGCTCCGTGACATTAAGGAGTCGTGTCCAAAGCCACAAAACGCACCAACTCCGTGACACTGGTGCTGGATAACTGCTCGAATTACCGCCCATGGAGCTTGTCACCCATATCGAGACATCAGAAAAACGGAGGGAAAGACAAACACGTGCACAAGCGACAGCTGCGGATTACCCTACAGTCTCTTGTCGAGCACAGGAAAGATGGGCGCTCCAGGTGAACAACTGCGCACAGCAGTCTCTGGCTTTCCCAGGGGGGGGAGGAGGAGGAGGAGGAGGAGGAGGAGGAGGAGGAGGAGGAGGAGGAGGAGGAGGAGGAGGAGGAGGAGGACGACGACGACGACGACGACGAGGAGAGGATAGGCTAAAATCGCGCGTGCGCACGCCAGCTTGATACAGTCGGCCGGTGTTCGCACAAGGTCCCTGCGCGGTCATTATAATACCAGTCCAGATACAACACTCTGACAAGAAGGGAAGGGTGTGCGCAACGAAATGGCCCCGTGTCCTACCACGTAGGGGCGGGTACAAGTGTGCGCGCACACCTGTTGTGCAGGCTTCATTCGAAATGTGGTCGTATGTGTACTCGCATTTGGTGGGAGATAGCGCATGCGTCGGACTGGGGATGGTGCAGCCGTCGGACAGGGGGTCGGCGCAGACGTCGGGCTTGAGAGCGGCGCTACCGTTGGACTGGGAGCCGGCGAAGGCATCGTACTGGGCGTCGTCGCCGGCGTCGGATTGGTGGCCGGCGCAAATATCGTACTGGAAAATGGAGTTGGCAACGGACTGGTAGCCGGGCGTAGAGTGAGTCAACGCAAACGTCGACTTGGGCGAAGGCGCTGGCGTCGGAACGGGCTCGGCGTAGGTGTCGGACATTGTGGTGCCCCAGATCTTCCCTGATCTGAGCATGCGGCAATCGTTGATGAAATCCAATGGTCCATGTGGTGCACTGTGCGATTGCGCATGCATCGCCAACGTCGGTACCGTCAACACACGGCGCGCACAACAAATTGTGTTACCCAAGTTTGGGCATAACGGTCTGGACAGGCAATGCAACACGCGGGAAACCTCGAAAATTGCATAAGACTGGGGTTGTTCCTCCCCCTACTTGTCGAGTCGGAGCGGGAATGCGGGCTCTTGCCAGCACCCGAGCGTGAAATAAAAGCTGTCCTTGATTGGGGAGGGCCCCGACATGTTGCAACAAAAGGCTGCTTTTTACTTGGAACGCGTGCCGTGACGTCAACATTCCAATGCCCATTCTAATACACCGATCCACGCTCCAAACCACATGCGCCCCCGAAGGAACTCCAGACCAGATGCAGGTGTCGGACTGGGGCAGTGCCAGTGTCGGGCCAAGACGCGTGCACGGCGTCGGGCTGTTAGCGCTGGCGTTGAATTGGTAGGTGGCGCGGCTGCCAGCCTGGGAGTAGGTTCCAGCATCGGACTGAGAGTCCGCGCAGGCGACACGGACGGGCACGATACCATGTAGGCTGCCCTCGGGGAGCAAGGAGTGCCGAGTCCGTGGATCCATCTGAGCAACAGGCTGTACGCGTCGCAACCTGCATCCGTCCATGCTGTAAAAAGGAACCGGGCTTTCGACTTGCCCCAGGGCGTCAAGCAAAACGACCCCATCATCCTCATTTCTGATCGTTGTCATCATGGAAGCCATCGTCCGCAAAATTACAGAAACGTGGAATGCACTCAGCAGCAGACGGAAAGGCATCTACTACAGCCTGGTCAATCTACGGTTCGCATACGACGTGCTGCTTTCATTGGGTGCAAGCGAGACGTCGCCAGGATGGCTGCCGACGTGGAAGTGGAAGTACGGCCTGAAAGTACATATGGGAAAAACACGCGCGCTGACAAACTCACCCTGCAGACCAAGGCATATCAAATCTAGAAATCATGACGCGAGCGTATTTCAGCGCGGCGAGTCTCTGAAATGGTTTGGCCGAAAGCTGTCACATGACGGATTCCACAACAGTGCGTTTGCCAATCGAGTTGCGGCTGCTCGGGTGTCTTTAGAAAATTCGAGGAGCAACTTATGCGACAGGCGACTTCCTCTGTCTCCCAGGATGAAATTACTGCAAACATGCGTGACCCCAGGCTCGCTGTGAGCCGCGGAAATCTTGGCGCTGACTGAAGGGCAAGAAACAAGACTCCGGACAACGCACCGCGGCATGGCGCAGCAGATCGTGGGCGTTCAGGGACGCAGCCACGAGACATGGGTAGAATGCATACAGCGTGCCACCCGTAGCAGCACAAACCTTGTCGCGCAGAACGCCGTTCAAGATTGGGTCTCGAACTTCTTGGAGCAAAAGAAGCCCCTGTAAGCATGCGATCCACAGTGGAAGATTGGGCACGGGGCCGTCCAGCTGGCGGACTGGACGCCTTGCCTAAGGGTTGGCGCCAAGAGGAGCGGTGGCGGCCAACACGAGAGCTGGGCAGACGCCCAACTCTTCGAGCACAGGTGAAACACAGTCTAGCCTGGCGCAACGCCGGGGCAGGCGGGATGTCATCTCCCTCACAGGCCGCTGTCGAACTCAAGGTTTCCTGACACCGCATAGCGCGCGTCATGTGGCTGGGTGGGTGGGTGGATTCGCTGGTACAATACATAACACAATCGTGCCTGGCCGTTCGGATGTTCCTCCTGAAAGCACCGTCACTGCTGCTATCCTCGGTACCGATGTAGCAAAATCGCGTTGCACCTGCGATCGCCACAAGGCACGTTGACACCCAAATGCCCGCTCTCACCACGCATGCTAATGCAGCAACCAACGCGTGCACCACATCGCCTGTGCATATCGCAGTGACAGGGTACATGGAACTGCTCCTGTGCACGCCAGGAATCCCCAGTAGGCGCCCGAACAATCCCTTGAGAGGTCCGAGATAAACCCAACAGCGCGCCCCAATTGGCACCAAAAGATTCAACTCCCTCCCTTCCCGTCATTGCCTCCCGCATATGCCCGTCGTCCTCCTCGTCCTGTTAGTCTTCCTCGTCCTCGCCCTCGTCCCCCTCCTCCGTTTCCTCCTCCTCCTCCTCCTCCTCATCTTCCTTCTCCTCCCCATCCCCCCTCCTCCTAGCGCCCAGGGTCTGCGGTAACAGCTGTAGATCCTTCCCAATAAACTTGTCACTGCGGGGTCACGGGGTGGTCACTGCACCGTTTTCGGCGCGATGGTAGTACAAGAATTGCTCCACACTGTTGCGGCGCACCAGTCACAAGAGTACCGCTCGCCACGTAGCAGCCCACGAACAAACATACCCTGGCGACGTACCCAACCCCTGCGCAATGCGGGGCGGGAGTAGCTTGGGAGATTTGACGAGAAGGCGCCGACGTGACATGGACGCATATACCTCTGCGAGCGGCAGTCGTTCGCAGGTCCCCAATCAAGGGAAGCACGTTGTGTAAGTAACTGAACGCCTGAGTCACTAAAGTAGACGCAAGGTGCAACAGGAGACGGTGGGCAAGGGGCTTGACACGTCGGCGGAGCAACAACAACCTGGCATGGCCCCACAAGGACTGCAAGGCCCCGTTCAAGTCTGCGCAATGCCTCACTCCCCTGGACCCAGCAGCAGCCCTCGAAAGCGGAGAGCCCACCAGCAGCCCTGGACAATGGCGATAGGCTCGCAGATCGCAGCCCCCCCCAGGGACGGCGAGCTACTGCTCAGATCCGCGCGGTGCCTCACTCCGCTGGGCACACCAGCAGCCCTCGAAAATGGCGAGAGTTTCGCACATGGCTTCAATCACCTTATCACCTGGCAAGTGATGCTCCTGAACCGTGATGATATGTTCTGGAGTGAGCTTCGGCCACTCCTCCATCGATCTTACAGGCTTCGGTGACTACGGAGAATGGCAGCCCCCCAGGGACGGCGAGATACCGCTCAGATCTGCGCGGTGCCTCACTCGGATGGGCCCACCAAATCACCAACCGCCCTCTAAAGTGGCGACCGTGTCGCAAATCGCAACCACACAGGGACGGCGAGCTACCGCTCAGATCCGCGCGGTGCCTCATTCCGCTGGATTCTCCAGCAGCCCTCGAAAGTGGCGACCATTTCGCAGATCGCAGCCCCCCAAGGACGGCGAGCTACCGCTCAGATTCGCGAGGCGCCCCACTCCGCTGGATCCTCCAGCAGCCCTCGAAAGTGGCGACCGTTTCGAGGATCGCAGCCCCCCAAGGACGGCGAGCTACCGCTCAGATCCGCGCGGCACCCCACTCCGCTGGACCCACCAGCAGCCCTCGAAACAAGGCGACAATGTCGCAGATCGCAGACCCCCAAGGACGGCAAGCTACCGCTCAGATCCGCGCGGTGCCCCACTCCGCTGGACCCACCAGCAGCCCTCGAACGTGGCGACAATTTCGCAGATCGCAGCCCCCCAAGGACGGTGAGCTACCGCTCAGATCTCCGCTGCGCGCCACTCCGCTGGACTCACCAACCGCCCTCGAACGTGGCGACAATTTCGCATATTGCAGCCCCACAGGGACGCCGAGCTACTGCTCAGATCTGCGCGGTGCCTCACTCCGTTGGACCCTCCAGCAGCCATCGAAAGTGGCGACGGTTTCGTAAAACACAGCCCCGCGAGGACGGCGAGCTACCTGATGGACCCACCAGCAACCCTCGAAAGTGGCGACCGTTTCGCAGATCGCAACCACACAGGGACGGCGAGCTACCGCTCAGATCCGCGCGGTGCCTCACCCCGCTGGATTCTCCAGCAGCTCTCGAAAGTGGCGACAATTTCGCAGATCGCAACCCCCAGGGACGGCGAGCTACCGCTCAAATCCGCGCGGTGCCTCACACCGCTGGGTCCACCAGCAGCCCTCGAAAGTGGCGACAGTTTTGCAGATCGCAGCCCCCCAATGACGGCGAGCTATCGCTCAAGTCCGCGCGGTGCCTCACACCGCTGGGCCCACCAACAGCCCTCGAACGTGGCGTCAATTCCGTAGATCGCAGCCCCCCAAGGACGGCGAACTACCGCTCCGATCCGCGCGGTGCCTCACTCTGCTGGACCCACCAGCAGCCCTCGAAGTTGGCCACAGCTTCGCAGATCGCAGCCCCCTGGGCAAAGCAAGAAAAGACAAGCAGGAGGGGGGGACGGGAGGCGCGAGGCGGGAGGCAAGGGGCGGGTGGAAGGAAGGATGTGCGAGCAGTGCTCTATGCAAAACGAATACCCAGGCAAGGAGGGTTGGGAAACAACTCTGCACACCCCTGTGCCTGCGTACGAATGCACCCCTTTGCCTGTGCACGCCGCCAGCGTGCGCATCGCAGTGCCCGCGTACACCACAAAGCCCGCGTGCACCTCCAGGTGCCCGACAGGGTCGAACTCCAACAGATCATGACCATCCCAAACGTATCACATTCAATGTGCAAAACGTTTCCGTTTATTGTTTATGTTCTGGCCACGGGCACGCCCCCTACCCCCGTTGCTTTCGCGCACAACGGTACCAGTGTATACCACAATGCTATATACCACCACGCCTGTGCAACAACAACATCGCCAGCAGCAAACCCGCAAGAGCGCAGCGGCAGCGGCAGCGGCAGCAGTTCCAGCAACAGCACCAACAGCAGCAATACCAGCATCAACGGCATCCGCGGCAGCAGCATCAGCAGCAGCAGCACCAGCAACGCCAGCGGCATCAGCAACAGCCGCACATACAACAGCCCCAGCAGCACCAGCAGCAGCAGCAGCAGAACCAGCAGCACTAGCAGCAGCACTACCACCAACAGCAGCAGCAACACCAGCAGCAGCACTAGCAGCACCAGAACTAGCACCAGCAGCAGCACCAGCCGCAGCAGCACCGGCAACACCAGCGGCATCAGCAGCAGCGGCACCAGCAGCAGCACCATCAACACCAGCAGCAGCAGCACAAGCACCAGCAGCACCACAAACAGCAGCAGCGCCAGCAGCAACAGTAGCACCAGCAGCAGTACTAGCATCACCAGTAGTAGCACCAGCAGCAGCACCATCAACAGCACCACAAGCAGCAACAGCAACCGCATTTGCACCACCAGCAGGATCAGCACCAGCAGCCATAACACCGACACACCGAGCAACCAGAAATCCCTCAACTCAAACTTGTTGCCTGCGCTGAATCACTACGTGTGTCTCTTCCCCTTTTTTCCCAGCAGCTCTCATGGGCGTCGCTTCTCAATCGGCTGGCGGGGATACGCGAAGCGTCAACAAATCATGTAGAATCTCGATGGGTATGAGGACACCCGCAAAGCGTTGCGGAATTCTGGAGAAGGCAACGGGGCCAAAAATAATTCAGACGAATCCTCTTGAACACAGCGGACTCTTGCGGACCCATGGTATCGTTCACAGATCCGGATGGGCCCCGAGGAATCCGACAGAGCCATGTGGAATGGTGCGGGAACCAGACGGAGCCTGATGAATCTGAAAATGCCCAAAACACGTTAGTGAAATATCCCGAAGAGCCCTTGGGAACTCTTAGGAAACCTTGAGGTGGCCTGAGGGCCCCAGCGGGATCGTGCGGGGCACTGTGGAATCCAAATGGGTGCTCAGAACTCGTGGAAATCCTCGAAGAGTCCAGGGGAGCCCTCAAAGCCCTGAAGCGTCTTGAGGAATCCAAATGCACCCTGACGAGTCCTGCGAACACGTGATAAGAAATCGTGGGGAGTCCAGATTCCAGATGCACCACGAATCCTGACGAGCCCTGACCAAGTAGAGTAGGCGCGCTGCGGAGCGGGCCTGCCAACGTAAACTACGGCACACGTGGCTGCATTCGGACTGAGGCGCAACGCAGTCAGAGCCGAGTCTCAAAACCTGAAACATGCCTCCAAGACTTGATGAGGGCGGTATAAGGAAGCGAAAGGGGAATTGAATGACAGTGGGCGCTGATCGACGTGGAGAGGGAGGTAGACCCGTAAACAGCATTTACAGAAGTAAACGAACACGTAAGCATTTACTTATTTACTGTTAAACTGCAACTTCTGAACAAATCAATTCTGCAGTCGCCGTTTCGCTCAGACACTATGCGCGAACACTCGTTTACCCAAACTCGCCAACTTACAAGATCCCTTTGTAAACGCACATGGAGCGATACGCACACACGCGCGCGAGGCCGCGCGCCCCTACCGACATCATTCACACATCGCGTCGTACAGAAGGTTTCGGCATAGAGTGCAGCAGAAACGTAAAACGACAAAAACCGCATTGGCAACACGATTTGTCGAACAAGCACAGCGTGCGCGATCTTGCTATACTTCCCACACGCACACACAGACACACACACACACACACACACACCTTTTGCAACATTTGAACCGATTGCGACCACACGGGCCTCCCCCGCGCGCGCATGTCGATATTATCCGGACGCCCTTGCGCGCGTGCTGGGGGGGACGATCCCTGTCAAATCGTACCATAGCGGCCACTCACTCGCGCCCGCTGGCCGTGCGATAATGTCGAAATTATTCAAACATCTGCAGTACCGACACGTGGACACCATCGTCGTCATCGCTGTGATCAGCATAGGCGCCGTCATTGGCCTTGCAATCATCATTGTCACCATCGCCACCAACATCGTTATTATCATCATCGTGTCAGCCGTTACCGACG